AAGCGACATCAAATGTAAATGTAAAAATCACAAACGCAGTTACGTACACTGACCATCTCAGTACCAGCATGGCAGATTAACGTTCTTGAGATGTTCCAAGAATCTCGATGTGTTGCATCATTTTTTACATTTACATTTACAAGGCTGAGAATGACATTTTATGGTACAAATATTTTTCTACGTACGAAGACACGTTACGATAATTTTTGAAGTCGTTTGAATCCGAGTCCATTAGCAGTCATGCAGTGGTATCTTTTCGATAAAGCCAAGCAGGATGATAGTAATAAACCATATGAGAGCAGAGTTAGCAGAGATATTGAGAAAGTTACCATTGCATTGCGTTGCTGGATCAGCTCATTGGGTGGCATAAAGGATAACGGTGCTCGTGTAAAGTTTACTAGGGACAAGGTGAGTTTGAGTGGTGGAAAAAAAAAAAATAAATAACCAAGTGAATGAAAAATTATTACTGCCTTACTTATTTGGTAAAATGGAACACTTTTTATACGTAATGCTACGTGCCGTTTCGTCCAGGCGATCGCAAACGTCTACTCTCGCAGTACTGCTTCAACAGATTCGGCCTCTGTTCTTCTGTCCTTATTTTGAGGCGTATGAGTATGTGTGTGCACACCCAACGCGGAGAAATTCAAATCCATGGTAAGGAAATCATGCTATATATTCATCCGATGCTGTCCGTTACAGAATTACTTAAGAAGTCAGACTTGAAATCGGATAAAGCCATTGAAGAAGCATTGTATAAAGAAAAGTATTGGAGCAAAGATTAAATCAAGAGGAAGGCTACGTAATTCGGGAACGACGAGGTGTGGGTTGGGGAGGAAGGTAACCTTTACGGAGTTGATTAAAGGCCAAAACCAAGCAGCATCGGTAAACAAGCAACGAGGCTCAAGCTGTTCTCATGTACTTACATAAAGTGAGTTAAGTGTCAAGCAGTGACTGCAGCGTCATTGATGTGGTAAACCGAACCAACGAGCAAAGGAGTATCGAGACCGTTTCAAACTTTTTTGTGATTTGTATAAATTGTAAACGAGAGGGATAATTTGTAGCAGTGTGCAAAACCACAAGGTATCAGCTGTTAAGCATTTGAAAAACCATCAGGATCAAGATTTATGTACTTCGGAAGACAACAATGCAGACGGTATTTATAAACACTATGGTTTTTCACATCACTTGTCGAGTGACAAGAGTAAAGATGAGTTTGAGGACAAAAATGATTATGTCAGAATAACAGTAATGATTATAGACCCGATATAATGTTCAACTTGTCGAGTCAAGTCTACTATAATTGATTGTGTTTTATTTATAATTCATATGTATATTATTAGTCTAGATAGTATATATAAGAACAAAAATAATTGAATTGATGTTATTTACGTTTATCGTACGACAGACTGTTACTATTATCATTAATATTAATATGATAAATGAGCTACTTTTCCTGGTAATCGTAAATATTTATACTAATAGTAGATTTTACAGTGTAAATTAACGTGATGAAATAAAATGTAACACTTAAGTCTATGAAATTTGTGTGAAGCAAATTTTTCTTCTCTTTTTACAGTCAAAAGACCGGTCAATATCAACATTTTTGTATTAAAAATGTTTCTCTAAACGATGACACCTTTCCATGGCCAAATTTTAAAAGCTTCTGTGATTGCACGGAGCTCAACAAAACCGTTCTAAAAAAAGTTTGGTGGAAAATAATTTCTAAGAAAAAAAAAAAAAAATTGGTACCATTTTAATCCTACTATTGTGCCATTTTTCCCTTTTCAAAAAAATTCCATACCCCACACCCGCCCACATTTGCTAACGATTTCGTAAAGCTTATACGGCTTTCAGACTAACGAGCGCAAAGAGCCAAACACGCAGATGCATGGAATCTATTAAAGCTCGTCCATATAACTTTTCTCTTTTGAATATACTCGCATTGGGGTTTTGGGAGCTTTCTATACAACATACACATATTCGAGACCCACGTGGCTTTGAAAGTGTAATGAAACACGTCCCTTCGGCTTATCTCCTTGTGTATCGATAACCTTTTTCCTTTCACGTTGTCTCAACGGATAGAACTAGAATATACGCTGCCGTAACTGCGTTCCACCGCGTTCTCCCTCTGTTTTTCAACTGAATCGTGCACGTCGTATATCTCAATACCCATCAACCCCTAGATTTGAGACGTAATTTGTTGGTGCCTGTCTACTTCTGGTCGTCGTGATGATTAGGTGTATCTGTTAATATAATTATTCGATGCAGCTCAGGGGAAAGGGTTGATGGGGAGGATCCCCTTTTTATATACATACGCTGATAGGAATCTCAAGACGGTGATTACTACATAGTAAACGAGTATTCGTTTTTGTTCATCTTATATGTGGCTTTTAAGCGAACTTCGTTGCCGAGTTATTGCAACTGTCTAGCTCACTGGAAAATTTTGAAAGTTATTTGAAAAATTGTTTTTTTTTTTTTTTTTTTTTTTTTTGTTCTTACATACTTTACAGGCAAAATTTTTAATTTGCATGCATACGAATAAAGTTGAAACTTTTGCACACCGGTAGTCAAAAATATCCGTGGAACAAAGGACAAAAACAATTGATCCATCTCTGGATCTTGTTGTTCATTGATATGATAATAAAGCACCCTTAACGAGCATTGTATACCGTCAACCAACAATGCACAGTCGAACGAAACCTCGTGAAAGCGCCTGCAGTGCCCAATTTCCCGAAAAAAAGAATAACAACAGCACAACAACTGATGCGGTCTTCCGTGCAATATGCCTACTTGTTGGTATACATATACCCACTCCTGGCCCCGGAAAACAAAACCCCAACGCAAAAATATCGACAGCCCACGATCGCTTCGACCGCCCTCATAAAAACTGTAATTAATTTGCGAAAATGCGAATCTATTGTTTCACGAAGCCCTCCGGCCTCCGGCCTTACAGTGTCGAAAAAACCATTTTCGACGCTTAATTATTTATAACACTCGCAGCGAGCGAGCGAACGGAAAAATACCGAGTGAAAGGATACTCTCGCGCACACACACACACACACACACACACCAGATAGGTGGTATCGGGGGTAAAAAAAAAACAAAGAGCGAATAGACGATCTAGTAGGTATATATAGATGTGTGTGCACGGTCGGGCTTTACGAGCGCCCGAGCATTGTTTATTTACGTGGCTCTGCCGTATGTACGTCACGGGCTTCGGTGGTATGTGTTACCCTTTGGCCTTCTTTAATTTTAAATAACGATTTTAATTGAACGCCGAACCTTTGCATTCGAGTCGGATTCTCTTTTTTTTTGTTATTTGGGTAAAAAAGAGCTGTGTAACCAAATTGGGTTATTGAAAACGGTATATTTTCATTTTTCAATATTTTTTCGAATTCGAGTGTACGAGTTGCTTGGGCTTCAATTCAAGTCAGAGATGATACCTATTATTAATTTTCCATAAAAATAATTTATTGTCGTTTTTCAATGCCAGAATAAAACCACATTTTTCATTTCAACTTTCACAAAGAAATTAAAATAAAAAAAAAATTAATAATAACTGTTACGAAAATAAACATTAACATAATCTCAAATCTGAACTTATTATTTCTTGATATTAATTTTTATTTGCCACTCGTTAGGATAAATAATTAAATCAATGACATAACATTTGTTTGGATAGTTCAGCTGAGCACATATTATCAGGGTTTTTTTTTAATCTAAAATTATAACAAAAATTATTTTAAATTGTAATTGCTCGAAAACTGTACAGATACTCCAATTAACGCGCGTATACGCGAACCAATTAGATATTAATGGTAATNACCTTTAGGGACACTACGCGGACCCTTCCTTGAGATTTTTTTTTTTCCTGTCTCGTTACACCGGAGAGATCGTGCGGGGCGTAAAAGCCCCGTAGGAAAAAAAAAAAAAAAAAAGGGAGTCTTGCAAAAGTAATAATGGAGGAGGCAAAGTTATGCAGTGAAACATTATAGTTGTGGGATAACATTTGTTTGGATAGTTCAGCTGAGCACATATTATCAGGGTTTTTTTTTAATCTAAAATTATAACAAAAATTATTTTAAATTGTAATTGCTCGAAAACTGTACAGATACTCCAATTAACGCGCGTATACGCGAACCAATTAGATATTAATGGTAATAATTAACGAAAACAAATGGACACATTTAAATGAATACGAAGCTATCCTTTCAGCGTGAGGGGCCATGCACTAACGATCGATTACCCGCAAGATTTCCTCCTATCGGCCTTTCTCTCGTTAAATTTCCACTCCCGACGTATCTCTCATTTTTTCTCTCCCCCGACGTCCACACAACATCCACGCGGAACAAGAAGAATCGCGTTCCACCGGAGAAACTGGTCAGCCAGCGGTTAATGGTTACCTGACCCGTATGGATTAGTAAGAGCCAAGGGTGATATGCCAGACACGCCAGAGCCCTTCTCGGCGTGCCCCACTCGTCCACGGATTTGGATGTCAGAGTCTCCCTTATCGATTTGCAGCCCATGAATACATGAGAAAGCTCCAAGAAGGGGACACAGGCGGACCCACGTAAGAGGATTAGATGTTAGATGGGCCGCGTCTGTGTCGCTTTTTTTTCAGGGCGCGACTGTGCGAGGCTTACGCGTGTTCGTGCATATACGTATAGGCGCCCGTGTTGGAGCGGACCCTTTCAATGTTTGATAAGCCCGCTGTAGCGTCGTGAATTTTGAACGAGCCTGCCGCTGAGAAAATTGATTTTTGGGGGGGAAACTGGATCTTCGCTTGGTCTAATTAATACTTCGTATGATCCTTTTTTTTTTTTTTTTTTTTTTTTTTTTTTCAGGAGGTTGGCCGGCTGATCTTTAGTTAACATCCACCACGTATAGCCAAAAGAGAACAATTAGATCTGATATAAAACGAATGACTAAAATATGTAGCGTATCGGTATATGAAATAGTTTATGATATTCGCGTTTGGCATCGACTCGGTTGGGTTTCAGAGACGAGTTGGACCTGCACGAGCTCCACGGGCGGGGCCGACTCGAGCTTGTTCTCGTGGACCATCACGTCTTGCCGAGGGAAGACGTTGGGCTGGCGGAGGCAGTGCTCGAGGTCTTCGACCACCGACCCCAGGACCCAAACTGGCTGTGGCCCGATCGCAAGTTTACCCTCGGCCAGGTTGGCAGCTGCGCCACTCTCGTCACCCAAAACATCGTCCAACGCCGGCCGGAGCTCTTGGCCGATCTGGCCTGTCTACTCCAAGGTAAGTGCCTGTACTGCGGCGCGTGCGAGTAAAATCGGCCTTGTGATCTCGTTACCTCGGGATTCGGAAGAGAAAGTAAGAGGATTACGTTGTTCTCTTTCCTTTTTTTTTTTTTTGTTCTTCCATTGAAAAATAATGTGAGCTTTAAGGGTTGACGTGCGAGGGGTGGAAAAACAAAGCCGTGTTCTCGGTTGGGTGGGATGGAAAAAGTTTTTCAAGTTGGCGTGAGGTGTCGAGTAGCTGTTGTGTATATGTTTTCTCACGTGTGGGAGTGTGGCGTGGGAACTTGATCGTTTCACTTGGCGGAAAAAAAATAAGAGATTCGGAGAGATTTATCACGCATCTTTTGGCTGATTTATCGAGTTTCTTTGGACTTTAATGATTTTGCTAGAGTGTTGCAATACCCCAACATCTCTGCGTGGTGAGATGGTTGGGTGGGATGAGGAAGTCAGCGAAATGAGATGAAAATACTTGTGTTACATATCCATGAAAAAAGTGATTGCAATATCTTTTTTCGGGCATTGGTGAAGACTGAAAATTAAACAAAAAAATTACAGCTCGGTTGAACTTGGTCTAAGGAATTTTAAGACATGGTTAATTACTCAGGTATTTAGGTAACTTTGGAGTAAATTAGTTTTTTTTCATCATAACAAAGTTATTTTTATGAAGATGCTAAAAACCAACATAAAATATACCGATTGTTCGGTTATGCTTATTTGGATGAAAAAATTAGCTAATACAGAGTACTTTGTTCCAACAGCTGTTTTATTTCATTGGTTAAATGAAAAAATAGAAAAAGTTTGAGATTTACAGAAACTCATGTTCTTTGTCCGGAAAATCATCATGTGAAAGGTCATGATTATTCATTATCTATTACCGATCACTCGTAGACGTAAGCACACCTAATCACGTTTACGCAACTCGTTTGCCCGAAACAATTTTTCAATTTCCCAAAGCTCGCAGTGACAATGTTGGTGTCAATAATTTAGCAAATAACACGGCGAGCGCGAGCCAGCGAACGAGCGAGTTGTAATCAAGTTGGCAAACTAAGATTTAATTTCGTTAGAGTTCCGAGCGATCTCGCCCCGCTCTCCTCTTGTTACGTATAGCCTATACGGTCCTTTTCCCCCCCTTTCTTCGCGTCCCCCCCCCGAAGCTCGCCTCTCCGCAGGTGCTTGGCTCGGCCGGGTAATAGGGTCATCCCAGGAAAACAATGCCATCCTGACGAATGATAAATCAGCCCCTTCTAGTTTCCATCTCGGCTCACAGAGGACTTTCCCTCCCCCTCTCTCTTTCGACCCTTTCTCGAACACAGGCGGTACAAGACTTTGCTAATACGACTCCCACCGTCTGGGGCATATAAATTCTAATCCGATGAAATCTTTTTTCTTTGTCTCAATTTCCAAAGTGAGCCGTGATACCTGGACACTGTGCACGCAGACTTGATGACAAGTTCGATGCCCAAGGTTGTCTGGCTGTCTTGCAAACTAAATTTGCTTCTCTTGAGATTTCATTGATTCTACTTGATTATACGCGTGAGAAAGTTTTTCTTTATATTGAAGCAATAAATTTGCAGATATTGTTTTGAATATTACACTTTGTCCATCGAGTAAGAATTTTTACCGAGACTTTGGGGGATTGGAAAAACCTTTGGTGTTGATTTGACTAAACAAAAGCTGCGCGATTATGAAACATATAATGTAATTATTAAAGGCTTGTTTTCGTGAAAAGGAAAAATAATTTTCCAATACCCGATAATTTTCAGGGTGAATCCATTCTGAAGTCGGAAAATTACAACCCATAGAGCAGCTTTTTAAAATTCAATCACGAACAATTCATGGCCTACAAATAATTTTCAATTTTTCATAACTCAGTATCCTATAGGATTTCATCTGCCTTTCTTTGCAAGCCCCTACAACACCACGTCTCCAACTTCCCCGCACTCGTCGAGCTCCCGTGTACGCCTGTGAAACAACAAAGGACACGAACAGGGGGTGGAAAGGGAGGAAGTCAAAAAGCACGAGCGGCAACATTGACCCGAGGGCAAATCGCGATCGCAACGTGGGGCACGCACGCGCGCACATTTGGCTGATATAATGTTTGCAAAAGTATCGAGCATCCGCGTTACCGGAGGGATCGGCGCTCGGCCTCCCTTTGCCCGCGCCTGTGTGTATACAGTGTGTACAAACACACTCGGGGGGAGGGAGGGAGAGCTCACCTGTCTGCATGTGCCGATTTTCCCCAAACACGGTTCGCGCGGAGCGTTCGGTACCACTTCGTTGCTGCTGGTGTTGCTGGGATTGCTCGTGTATGTATTTCATTTTCGTGGCTTTACTGCGCACATGTAGCTGCCGCCTCCAGCTACGTAGGTACATATTTTAGTCAAACATAAGCTCGGGTACCCTGTTTTTAGGGGTGGGGGGTGTAGGGCGCGCGGGGGAAGAGCAAATAATGATTTATCGAGGCGCAGGCGAAATAAAAATAGGAGACGCATGTGTAGGGTATACATATGTAACGCGGGTGCACGTGCGAAAATATTTAACGAGCACGAGTTGTGCAACCTTTAGGGACACTACGCGGACCCTTCCTTGAGTTTTTTTTTTCCTGTCTCGTTACACCGGAGAGATCGTGCGGGGCGTAAAAGCCCCGTAGGAAAAAAAAAAAAAGGGAGTCTTGCAAAAGTAATAATGGAGGAGGCAAAGTTATGCAGTGAAACATTATAGTTGTGGGCGGGAGGGTGCAGCTATAGACAATGTATCCACCAGCGATGCCTCTGCCCGAGTTGGGGGGAATAATTGTTTACTTTCGGGATGATTTTAACGCAGGAAGGTCTTACTGTTTTGTTGGGGAAAAGGATATTTTTGTACATTACCAGCGAGGGGCTTTATTGTACGGTAGAGCGCTAGCGCTTATGAAAATTTTTCAAGTCTCGCGAAGGGTGGCACGTGATCCTCTCCGTCTGCGTGACGCCTCTGAATAAATTACGGTTAATGAAATGCGTGATTTATGATGCCTATTGCGAAACGTCATGAATGTTACCGGGGGGATGCTCGGCGATATGATCTGATGGGGTTTTAAGTGAAAAATGCGGAAATACATCAGCTTTTATTAAAAGCGATGAAAAACTGATTTTCGAGGGAATATTTTATCACGCGGTGTCTTTTGGGAAAGTTATATCGTGTGGGGCTGAATTTTATTCGCGATGTGTGGATATTCTGTTCAACTTTTCAAGATGATTAGTTATCATTGTTGGCTATCGGTACTAATTTGATTGAAATCCTCAACAAAGCGACCCCTGTTATATTTTATTGATACAAAATCAGAAACACAAAGTACAGTTGTAAAATAATACGGGGTATTATTAGATGGTATTCATAAATGACAAACGAGCCTGTGTTTGCCTCAATTTTCATTCATTATTAAAGCCCTTGGCTACTCTCATATTTACGGTGTCATAAATACGAGAGAGAGCAGAGCTGCCACCCTCTATACAATAACAATGAACGGGAGGTACATAATGATGGGAGCGTATACACGCGTACCAACGTTTATGATTTTCGTAAAATTTGATATTACGTGTGTGACCAACGAACAGAAAAATATTATTTTTCAAAGTATTTATTGGGATGAATGTTTTGGCTGTTGTCAAAAGAATGACGTAAATATTTGAAAAATATTCAGAAATTACGATTGAAAGCTATTGTACGAAATTTTGGTGGAACGTTTTCCGCAACATGTTTACCGTGAAACAAAATGGTTTTTTCGTAAAAACGTAAAAGAAAAAGTTGAGAGAAAGCAAATTCGTCCCATCACCCCGACAATTATGTTTTATTCACACCCACCCGTGAAACATTACCCCGTCTGGCGTAAATACTTGATTCCCTTTCTTTTTCCTTGCGTGCTCGCTCAACTTATTGCTCAATTCAAACTCACCTTTCGACCTGTCCGTCTTTGTTATCACTGTTGCTTTTTAACTTTGGTTTTTGTTTCCCCAGCCACGTCTAATTCTCTCTTTTCTCTTCCAGCACATGAATTATAAATTTTGCCCGGGAAAGCTTCGGACATCGCGTGATAAAAGTTTCGAGGGTGAATTTTTTCTTTGAAACATGTAAACTTACCAAGTAAATCATTGTTTTTCTACACACCTTCTTTTCAAAAACAATATTGTATCTTTAAGTAATGAATTCTTTAATTTTACGTACTATGGACCCTGGAGTTTTTCTTATAAATCGAAAATCAATGTTGTTCCTGCACGTCTGACCACATCTGGTACTGTCTCATAAATAATTATAAAGTCAAACATGCACTATGTCAATTCTCATGTTATTTCTATAGACGTCTGACTACATATTTATCTTACTACTGATTTTTAAATACATTTCATTATTATGTGGCACTGTATCGTAAATTAAAATAAAATTAAACATGAACTATGTCAAGTCTCATGTTTTTTCTGGGCACGTCTGACTCCATATTTATCTTACTACTAGTTTCAAAATACGTTACATCACTATCTGGTACTGTTTTGTAAATTGAAATAAAATTTAATATGAACTATTTTATGTCTCATGTTATTCCTTTACATGTCTGACTACATACTGATCGTTATTTCTGAACATGTCTGACAACACATTTATCTTACTACTTGTTTTAAAATACGTTGTAATAATTATCTGGCATTATATCGTAAGTTTAAATAAAATCAAATATAAACTATATCACTTCACGTTATTTTTGTACACGTTTGACTAAACATTTACCTCACTACTTGTTTTAAAATATGTTGCAATCATTACGTGGCACTATCTCGTAAAATCAAATCAAATTTAATATGAACTATGTTAATTCTCATATTATTTGTGTACATGTCTGACCACACATTTATCTTACTACTTTAAAAAAAATATGTTTCATCATTATCTGGTACTCTCTTGTAAGTCAAATAAAATCAAATATATAATACGTCAATTATCATGTTATTCGTGTACATGTCTGACCACACATTTATCTTACTACTAGTTTTAAAATACGTTGCCATCATTATCTGGTGCAATCATTATCTGATACTGTCTTGTAAGTGTAAACGAAATAAAATTTGTACTCTGCCAAGTCGAAAGACATTGATAAGGTTTTAATTCAAATTGTCCAACATCTTTATCTTTCACTTCCCGTTAATTTGACAATCTCTGCTATTTCACACTCAGATCTCCATTACGAGAATCATCCAGTCGAAAAAATCCGCCCCACTACCTGTTGAGGGAAAAAGGAAGAAAAAAGGCAGTTCTCTCCTCTCCCACCCAGCAGTTGGAAAAATCGTCTCCATCAACACTCGCCTCTTCATATCCAATGTATCACCCTTTCCTGTCCCTCCCCACGACTATTCTCCTCACTCAGCGTCTTGTCCGTCTTTCGGCCTCACGCAGTTTGCATAGCAGCCCCTTATCACGTTGCAACATCAGCACTGGCTGAGTAGTATTGTTTTCGGTATAATTGAGCGTGCACACAGAGAAAGTGCGAGCCTCCTGGCCCTGTCAGCCGCAGAGCTATTCCTATGTACGGAAAGTTGCTCGAGGGCTCGCTCGCCACTCCGAACTTTCCAGAGAGAGCGAAACGGAGGGGCTGGATTCCGTGGGGTCCTCCCTCCCCCACACTCTCCTGCCTTATCTTTGAGCTCTACCTACTCGGCGTTGCAGGTACATTTTCCCTGTGTCTCTGAACCGCGTGTGTGTATATATATACATCACTTTGGAATCTCATCCCTTTTCCTACTTTGCTTCGGAGCAACAACAACCCGCATTACGCGATATCCTCTGGCTACTACCGTGGACTGCGCCGCTGATGATGGTCGAGCTTGGGGTTGCGTGGCGTGAGGGTGTGCGGGAAAGTACGCGTGGATGTGGCTCGGATCATTAGTGGTCACTAAAGTTACTCGAGAAAGTGAAAAGAAATGGCTGTCGGGGTATTGTGGTTGATGGGCTGGTTTGTTTTACGCGCGTACATTACGAAGGAGGATTTTACTAAAAAAAAAGGTTTCGTTTCGTTATTGAGTGATCGTGGGGTGGAAAACTAAAAGGTGATGTTGTCCATTTGATCGCATTTACAGAAATTTCATTCTTTAAAAATATCTTTTCACAGTTTAGAGAGGTCCTATAAGTATATGGCACTTGGTAAATTCTTATTTATTCCAAGTGCTATATTTCAAACCTTTTATGTAAAACAGAAGTGCCGTCAACTGAAATGCAAAAAATTGCTCGTTTGAAAAATGGTAGCGCGAGTTTTCCCAGTAATCGCTAGATATTTCGAAAAAATATGCCCCAGGATAGTTTAAAATGCAGGGCTTTTTTGAAAATCTGGTCTCGTGCGTTCAAAATTGCTTGTGTATGGAAAATCTTTGATGTTTCGGCTTTCCAAGTTTGTTGGGCAACTTGTTTTTGTTTCTCTGGCATTGAACTGCCACGTTTTACGGGGGTAGGTTTTTAGAATAGCTTGCAATAGAGAATTTTTTTCCATAGCCAAAGTGTTAATTTGAATGGAAAAGTTTCACGGGAGACAATATTCTTTTTCACTTTATAATAAAATAATGAATAATTAACGCTGACCAGTCATATTTTTTTTTTTTATTGTCCTACAACAAAGATTTACCATCGCAAAATATATATATTATGTACTAAATATCTTGATCAATGATTAACTAAATTTAAAAAACTATTGCTGTATAAGGACATTGACGCGTGTGGCTGACCAAACGTAGACCTCGACTACTAGAAAACATGATTAAACCTTCATTGGTCAATTGTGTCGTACGGCATTTTCTAACTAATGTTGGAAACACGTCAAATAGTTAATGAACAAATGAAAATCGCAATACAGAATCCCACTGGCTTTACTGTGTAGTTTTTCTCGCACACGAATGAAAAAGTAAACAGACTGCTAGATCATGGCTCGCGGAAAACAACAACATCGTCCTGTAAATGGAAAAAAGTCGGGGAAAAATAAAAGAGGGAAGAAGAAAAAGTCTCGGGAGCTGATGTACGTCGTTGGCCTTATTCGAGAGCGTGATGGAAAAAAATTTACGATGGACCACGAGCTAGCTCTTGTTTTTGCCTCTTTTTATTGTTTTACTTTATTTTTTATCTTTTTTTATTATTGTTACTATTTTGAGCCTTTTCTTTCTCTGTAACTTTTTCAGGGGCCTATTTATGTATTCTCCATTATTTAAATGATTTTGAGGAATGCATTGCTCTCAGTGTAAAAATGAATGATTGATTAAAGATTACGTGTCGTAGCGTCAATCTTAAATCTAATTCCATTTTAAAAAATTTACAGGTTTCACATGTAAATGCGCAATTTTCGATGGCTCAGCGCGGGGATGGAAAAAAAATGGAGAATTCAAATGGTATTGGTTTTCTAGCCCCCAAGGAAATTTAAACCTGTAATTTTTTTCACACATTTATAATGACTACAAAGTATATGTATGGAAGCGTAAAAAATATAATATCCGAGAGTCACGCTAAGGGAAATATTACTACGGGAAGTGGACTTTTTTATTCAAAATTTTATTTCCTGCACTATCCTCAAATTACACAGCCCGAGGACACCTCCGACACGATGAACTCAATGACGCGAACAAATTAATTATTCTTCGAATCAACAGAGCCACAAAAATTCTTCTTACATGTTAACAAAAAAAACAACTCTGAAACCCCTTGAAAAAAAAAAAAAATATCAACACACCCTTCAACGCGTTTGCGAAACAATCATTGTTGTGTCGATCCATCACCCATTACCCCAGACTACACACATCTACACTCGAAGAGTAGATACGCGCTTCAAAGCATGCATAGTAAACACCGTATAGCTCGACACCCACTCGTGCGCTAAAATCCAGAGTAGGACCATCGCGAAACAAACACCGTGCAGCTGCTCACCTCGCTCAGTACTCTCTCTCTCTCTCTCTCTCTCTACCCGCACTCGTGCTGCATGCTAATCCAACCCCGGTCGCTCCGCAGCTTTCTCCTTTTGCTCCCTCTCGTTATGAGCACTTCTCTTTCTTTCTTTCCTTTTTTTCTCTATCCCGGATCGTTTGCCCGATACGTGCACGTGTATACACGCAGGACCCAAGTCCGCGAGCGCGGCCAGCGAATTTCAATTGACCGATAGCAGAGGTAAAAAAAAGAAAAGATGGACTTACCCCCTTCTTTATTTTTTCCTCCGGCCCCCATTTGGGCGATTAAAGATTCGGTTTATCCCGGGAGCTATCGGGGGAAAAAAAGCTAATGGCTCTCTCCCCTTTTTTCCGTTCACAGACGTCAAAGGCTCGCGGAAGTTTAAGCCGCTTTTCGCTTATTGGCTCCGATAGCTTTCACCCCCTCCTACCTCCTCCTTTTTCGCTCCGATGGAAGGCTTACACTCTCGACAGCTCGTTTTTCTCCCTCGTCCCCATAATTGCAGCTCTCGAGATCAGCCATCGGGTAATAAGGTAATTAGCGATGTAATTGCTCGATGTGATGGGCATGTATATACGTATGTATCGATCCGTCCCTCGAAAAGAGAAATCCACCATCCATTGACAATCGGAGGTAGGTAAGCGATGGGTATGAATTTATTCAGCAGCAGCCCGTCAGCAGTAACGAACTCTGGAGCGTCCCTCTGCTTGAATGTTGGAAATTCAGAGCAGCCGTGCGGGCCCCGTTTATCGAAAATCAAAATTAATGAGACTCCCGCAAACAAACCCCGTTGGTGGTGAACTTTGGTGAAAACCAACCAAAGAACTCTCTTGGATCTATATATATATATTTATGTGTGTGTGTGTGTGTGTGTGCTCGGCAGGTCCAATGCTAATAGACACGGCGAACTTTTCCGAGGAGGCCGGCAAAGCGACGCCACTCGACCGCGAGATGATGGCGAGACTCGGGCGGATCAGCGCTCGGGCTGATACTAATGGCCCGGACGAACTTTACCGTATGCTTCAGGATGCCAAGTCCGACGTTGGCCAGCTGACGCCGGCCGATCTCCTGATTAAGGATCTCAAAGTCGTTAATGGCGTGCCGATCCCCGGATTTCCTGTTTTGGTTAAGGTACGTATTTTTTTTTTTCTTTCTTTCCTTATTTCTTTTTTTTTATAGTTAATGTTGACTTTGGGCTCGTTTACTGGAGTGTCTTGGGCAAAAATGACAAGCTCGTGTGGATCTACGAGATTTTCCGAGTTGCATGGTATTTGGCATTTGTTTATAGTGTAAGAAGTTTGACGAGTAAAATGGCACATAAAGTATTTTTTTAAATTAAATGTCCTGAAACATTTCCGTAAAAAGGACGGAATGAACGCGAAAGAAGAAAAACTGGAATTATAAAGGGGGTCGGGGTAATGGAATAAAACGGTGCGTGGGTAATTCAATGACAAAGCAGAGTAGAGTAGGGAGAGAGAGGAGATTGATCGGGAAAATGAACGATTGGGTGGAATTCGATGTTTAAAAAAAAAGGCAGTAGTGGAAGCGGAATGTATTTTCCGGGAGAAAGCGCTATTTTTGAAAATACAGTCCTTGAAAAAGCAATTTCCCGGATTGGTGTACAATCGATATTCATTAAGTTTCAAGTACTTTCCGCGAACGCCCGATTCTTCCATCTATCTGTCGTCCGATTCGGTGATTTAATTACATTTTTCATTGACGCTCGGCTGTGCTCTTACTTATTCAAGGATGGAAAAAATTCAAGAACTTGAAAGCATTAGTCTTTTTAATTTTCTCTGTGATTATCATTAAATCAATTGATTGACTCATTTGATTCAAATAAATATTTGATGAATACGTATTGGTCTACTTAACTAGATTTGGGTAAACGTTATAAACGTAACTACATAGTATTGATTAATGATTTTGCTGATTGTATCGTAACATAGTCCAATTAATCCAATTATTAGTATTTACTGTTGTAAAATTGGGTAATCACTTATATTAAGTAAAGTTTACAGTAATTACCTTGAAAGCAAATTGTTAGCTCATAGTAGTAACAGCAACATCTCTATATTTGATCGACCCGTACAGGCTAACCATGACAAAACCACTGCCAATGAATTTTCGAAAAAAATTGTGGCGACGGTGATTGAGTCAAAGCTAACTTTTTCATTACAAAATGTTTATGTCTGAAAAATGATGAAAGAATTTTTGTTTTATATTTATAATAAATATCCATACAATAGATACTATTCAAGTTTAGTGGCCTTTATGGAGTATATATTAATTTCTTGCAATTATAAATTATGCTATTAAACCAGAGACAGCATCGTTTCGGCAATAAAATTCAATGATTAACTAAATTTAAAAAACTATTGCTGTATAAGGACATTGACGCGTGTGGCTGACCAAACGTAGACCTCGACTACTAGAAAACATGATTAAACCTTCATTGGTCAATTGTGTCGTACGGCATTTTCTAACTAATGTTGGAAACACGTCAAATAGTTAATGAACAAATGAAAATCGCAATACAGAATCCCACTGGCTTTACTGTGTAGTTTTTCTCGCACACGAATGAAAAAGTAAACAGACTGCTAGATCATGGCTCGCGGAAAACAACAACATCGTCCTGTAAATGGAAAAAAGTCGGGGAAAAATAAAAGAGGGAAGAAGAAAAAGTCTCGGGAGCTGATGTACGTCGTTGGCCTTATTCGAGAGCGTGATGGAAAAAAATTTACGATGGACCACGAGCTAGCTCTTGTTTTTGCCTCTTTTTATTGTTTTACTTTATTTTTTATCTTTTTTTATTATTGNATAGATTTTCCAACAAGAAATACTGAATGTTTCTGGATTGATTGTCTTAAATATACGTATAGATATAATCACAGTCATGCTGCTGGACATCTTTGCAGGTTTAAGCTTCATACCCGTTACAATCAAAATTAATTAAAAAAAAAACCTTACCTCTCACGCCTGACCTGCAGCATATCAGCAAAGGCGCTTGAGCCGCGTCCTTCCACCCTCGCCGCGCACGGAAAAGAAAATCGCACGCGCTAAAAACAAGGCTCGCCCGAGCGTAAAAATCCCCTAACGGAGCGCGAGAGAAGGCGGGAGCGCCAACGACGAAGCTCAAACTTTTTCAATTATCACCGGCGCATTCCCAAGCGTATACGCGCTTGCTCCCGTTCCCTCTCGCTGTACACGCGGCCACGCTTCATTTGCAGGAAGCAAGCGCGCGTCGACACGTCCCGCCTGTATACACGTTGAGCCAGGATGTGTTTTACGCAGACTTTCCGATCGATCGTCCCGACTGAGGGGAGTTCATCCCTTGTAATGTACTTGCGTGTAGCGCGGGAATCGGCATCCGAGAGTTTTTAAACGCGGGGAATGAGGGGATTGGGGATGCAAAAGGGGGATAATCAAAGACCGGAAAGGAGGAGTTTTTATGTTAATTGAGTTGACGATGCCGGATTATTGCCAAGAGTCGTTCAACAGGTATAATTTGACTTTGCTTTTTTTCATACAGACCGACGGTTTTGATCAATCGACGCTCCTTTCGTGGATTTTTTTTTTTTTTTTTTTTTTTTTCGTCGCGCGCACTCATTGCACCCAGACTTGATTACTGAATTGTCTTTTGGTATGTGATTTGTCACATCGAGCACAAAAGCTTTCATTCGCCACGAAGCTGACTTCCAAAGCTCGACAGTGGAAATTGCAAAACAACGCTATTGGCAAGCGTTATTATTCGCAAATGTGTAACAAGTAGAATTGCACTCGAATCAGTTTCAAGAGAAGGGGGAAAAAAAAAAAATTGATAAACAAAATAAAAAGCGCATCGGAAGCGTATACGGGCAAACAAAACGGGTTTGGAGGGGTGGGCGGGTAAAAGTGAGCAGCGAGATACCAGGGAGAGAAAAAAATATCGGCGCGTCTGCGAGCAGATACAATGAAGCGAGAAACAGGGGAGGGGGGGGGGAGAAAAAAAAGAAGAAAGAGCTATGCGAACGAGACGGAGGAGAGTCGCGCGGGGGTGTGTGTGTGTGTGCACGCAGACGGAGCCGGTGAAAGCGCAACGAGTGCGGGTTCAGCGGGAGAAAACAAAAATAGAGGAAAGCGCGAATTGTGAATGAGCGGAGGGAAAAAAGGGAGGAGGGGGTGAAAAGGAGCCGGGAAAAAAGGAAGAGCGGGGCAAGACTGACGGACAGACACAATCGATAGGGACGCGAGGCAGGGGGATGGAAAAAAGAAGGAAAGGGAGGGAAAGCGAGAGCTATCGCTGGAGAAGGAGGAGGAGGAGGAAAAGGTGGGATAAAGCACGGACTCGGGGAAAAGAAAAAGCGCGTCATCGCGAAATCCAGCCACGTCTCCGGGAAAGAGAAAAAGGGTTGGGGGGGGGGAGGAGGGGGAGAACGACTGTGACACGATTACCCGGGGCTTGGCCGGTCGCGCGCTCCTTACTCTCCTGATGAAAATAAGAAAAGCGATCTAAACTTTGTGTTACGCGCCTCGGCGTTGCTCCGGTGCTCTTGATTCGAAGTGGGGAAAGAGAGATGGACTGGAAATGAAACGAGGGTGGCGGCAAGGGGAAAGATTTTCCCATTCGTTCGATTGCGCGTCGGATTATTTAATGTCTTGCGAACTGCTGCTGCTATATTGGTACTGGTGGCAGGGGGCTCTCGTCGAGTGATTGTGAGACTCGATTGAGTGGATTTATTAGTGATTACGCGCGAGGAGGTTGTACGTATAGGTACGCCTGGTAGGATAGGGCCAGAGGGGATTATTTTTTACGAGCTCCCATGCCCTTTCTCACATTTTACGATATTCTCGCGTAACTCGAGATTTTTTATTTTTATCCTGCTCACTTTTTCGATCCACTTTTCATTTCTGCGTTAAGTTTTCTTTTACTTCTTTTTCTGTCTGGTTAAGATTTTTTTTATTTTTTCATCGGAGGGAGAGGTTTGTATTGGTCAGCATTAACTTTTGCCAAATAGGTATAGAAAAGTTGTTTCATGGTGTAGTAAAGAGTGGCAGAAAGTAGGTATGTAGTAACAAATACGTGAAAATCCAGATAAAATTGATGTGAATGATGAAAAATTAAATTATTTTTTAAATGAACTTTTGTAGGAACATGTAGACTTTTTTTTTTTTTTCTTCACCTAAACAACAAGTAAGATTAATCGCGTAACGTCAACGTAAACATGGCGTTACACAGGTCATAGTATGTATGACCATCGTAAGGTCATACTATATGCCACCTACCAAACTCGCGAACTTTGACGTGCTTTATTTTCATCAGTTTTTGTTCATGTAAAAACAAATAAATAAAAAACTATACGTGCCTAATTTCGTTTGGCAATCGATATGATCAAACAAATAGATTTTCCAACAAGAAATACTGAATGTTTCTGGATTGATTGTCTTAAATATACGTATAGATATAATCACAGTCATGCTGCTGGACATCTTTGCAGGTTTAAGCTTCATACCCGTTACAATCAAAATTAATTAAAAAAAAAACCCTCAGATCCAACCAACTAAGAACACATACACATAGATAAATTAATTAACAGACAAGAAGCATCGTGTTAATCAATTGGCAGTGGTTTTTGTTCAAAATCGGTTAAGCAAAATGTCTCATGTAACCAAGTAAGTAAGTATTCCCATGGTTGATTTTTTAAGTCGATACTGCATAGCACCAGGAACCATCAAAAGGGTGTAACTTGTTGTTTTTATTTTTGTCGCAATTGTCCTTTAAAAAACGTGATCACGTCTCTTCTTCTTTGATTCGTCCGGCATCACGACACAGGACTTCCTGGCGTTGGACGGTGCAGCCGAGGCGCTCGAGACTTTTTGCGCCGAACAGCAGTGCCGAGTACTCGTCCTCATGGGAAGGGAATGGAAGGAGGACAGGCTGACGAGGGACCTGGCCGTCTACCACTCATTGGGAGCCGATCGAGCGGCAAATAAAGTAAGTGCCTGACTTCGCGCCTTCTCCCTTTGGCTCCTTTCTTTCCCCTCGCGCCAGGATATACTCTTTGTCCCCTCCTTTTTTCCCTCCCTTTTTACACTTTTTTGGGTAGAGGACAAGAGAGAGAGAGAGAGAGAGAGTATCTTTCTATATGCACACGGTGGAAATGTTTTACTCGAGAGACAAGGCGAACAATGCCAATAAGTCGTCGTCCTACAATCGAAGGGCGTCGTTGCCTCCTTTGACATCTATTATCGCGCTGTTGAAAAAAAAGGAAGAAAATTTCCAGCTCTTTGATACGTACCGAGAGGTAGAAATAGTTACTGTACTGCAATGTTGTATTGAAAAATATTGATTGGATGGAAAACGGCTTTTTCAAGTATAAAGAATGGGTCTCTCTCTCTCTGGTGTTATTTGGAAAGGAGAAGCCTGCTATTACAAATTACAAAGTTCCAATCAACCATATACGATTTCCCTCCATCGCAATTGTACGTAATTGGTTGTATTGAAAATATTTTTAATACTTCGACAATATTCCCTCGTTCGTTGATTCGCGACATCAGTGAACACTTGCATTATTTAGGCTCATCATTGCCTGATCCATCATGCTCCAAGAATAACTTTACGGATATTGCGAGAAATCATCTGTAAGTGAACTCGTGAGTGGTACTCACTGTGAAGTTTCGATCATCCGCTCGCGAATCGGAAAACTCGTGCTGCGCTTTCTATCGGATTTCTCAAGCACGCGACCCAGAATTAACGACTCGCTGTCGTCTCTTTTTCTTCTTCTGCTTGATAGCTCTTGCTCTTATGTGCTTCGCGTTGGAATGTGCATAGAGTAGTACCATTGGGAGAGTTTTCGTAATTATTTTCAATAATTTTTGATGCTTTTTTTTTATATTTTCTCGACTTGGTTGTGCTGGTTTTACTGACAGACAATTATACTTGATTCTGCAGAGGTTCTCTCTTTGGCTATATTTATTTCAGTAAATTTAGTTGTGAGCAAGCTGCTTCACATTATTGTAATTGTTATTGGAATAAGTTAAAAATAAGAACTGGAATGCCAACAACAGCTGATAAAACATTAGTTGTAAATTCTTAAGACATTAGTCATTAACGTATTTTGTATTATCGTGTCTGTCTCAGATTTTACAAACAAGGATAACCAACACTATGATCAATGTATTTATTCAACAGTTAAACCAAATCGTGTGTCTAAAGTCCCTGAAACTATGAGTAATTTTCTTTTATCAACGCCAATGAACATTTGAAATCGTATTTAAAATAAAATTTTAAATGTACGTTTTTGATACTACAATACATAAAAGTTTTATTAAAATTTTGCATATATTTGAAATTCGTAAGTTTCAATTGATGGACAATTAATTTATGAACATCTTGTTTGTTAATAGTTAAAAAATTTTTTTTTTTAACTACTATAAAAAAAAACTATTACTATTGAAGAAATATTATTACATTGTCTTCATAAAAAATCAAAAACAACTCTCGTTCCATGCTTGAAAATGTTCTAGTAAAAAAATAGTTGTCTATTCTTTTAGTGCATGAATATTCAATGATTAGGATCATCTCAACTCTTTTCATCGTGATGGAACTTTTTAGTATTTTTCTCTGTGACGCAAATCTTGTTTAGGATATTTCGGTTTGTTTCAAATAAATCCACGCTGTTATTTCTAGTTACGTGACCAAGAAAAAGTACATTACAAATTGTTGAACAATTTTCCTTAAAAGTTTTAATACTGTGACAAAATTTTACAGGCTTCGTGTGAACGATTGTTCAGGTGTTGAAAAGTCCTGTTAGTAATATTCCATGAGCACGAGGTGCGATGTTTCCGTACGGGATCGTTGGATCCAAAATAACCGAAGAATCTTCCTCAGCGCTATACTCGACAGCTTCTCGTCTCGCAGCTATAGTTTCAAGAGCGCCACCGTCCGACGTTAAATCCACTTGAGCCAAGGTGCAGAGTCTAAGACTGTGCGAGCAGAGTGCGGAGCTTTGTAAGGGGAGGTGCAAAAGAGGAAGAGAGGGAGCGAAGCACAAATTGCAACCTGTTCTGACTACGTAGATGTCCCTCGCCCAACCGCTCGCCGGAAATTAAAGTTGGATGGCATATCCATATAAATGCGCGGAAATTAAAGTACCTCTCGTCCGCGTCATTCTCCCGCCCTCCCCCCTCCCCCCGATCAAAATGGTACAGCGAGTACTTTACGATCGAGGAATGGTTTATAGGCTGCTGATGAATCGCCGATTTCTCATTCGCGTGCTCGCGCATATATATTACCTATGTATATACTCACGTAAATTACCCTGCGCTGATTTCTCGGTATTGTCGAGCGGCCCCTTCGTCGTGGATTGCCTTGGGATCTCGAATTACCCTTTACCCTCTCCGGCCACAATGGGTGATTTGATTTGCAAGGGTATCCATCCGTCATTTTAGGGTATCCCGAGAACAAGAGCGAATGACAAGGATGCGGTTGGACATGGATTGTATGCCGTAGGGTAATTCAAAGGCGACGCGAGTCAATGGAAATGGCCCGGAACGGTTTGGTTTTCAGGCAGGCATTGATTCATACGTGTGCAAAGTAGCAACCAAATTATATATTACGCTCGTACGTAAATCGTGACAGGGGCATGGAGGAAGGATGTCTTGTCCTCGGAAATGGAATTTTAGTGGATTTGTGGACTTTTTTTTTTTTCACCCATGATTATTATTATTGTATACCTTGGATGATGAAAACGGGAAATCACCTACTGAGTTGATCAGTGAGTCTGGTGTGCCTTTGCAGAGAAAAAACTGAGCCACCTTATCGCGGGGTGTAAAATCTCTTAACGCAAATTGACCCACGGGGTCTGGCCGTCCTTGTTCGCCAACCCTCGAAATGGAGCACCGAGGCGTGGTTAGCATATTACCTTACACGCTACCTCGACCCTTTGAACTTCAATTCGCCACTTGAGTTGCTTGTAACAATTTGCCGCGATGCTCTCTCTCTCTCTCTCTCAAAGCACCGAGTCTCCGGACCAGACGCAAGATGCATTCCTCTTTTGTATATATCCTCCTTGATTTTTTTTTTTCATCGGTTCAACGCCCAGCTTTCCCTATACATTTAGAAATCCGATTAAAATTCTTCGGCATTCAGTTGGCATACAAAAAAAAAAAAAAAAAACAATTGTGCTGTTCATTCGATCGACATCCAATTGGCAGTGAAATCTGAAGCGTGAAATTCGGAATAGCCCGGGCATTCGAAGAAAAGCGCCAAAGTAAGCGGCCCCTCGAAAACCCCCCAATTAGTACTTCTCAATCAGCGCTCCCAAAACAAACAGACGCCCACCTCGTGCACGTAGTGGGTATAGTAGCGAGGGAGACCCGAGAGCTCGCCGCTCCTTACACGTTGGGCCCACCCAAATTAGCCAGCCCCTCTCGGCCATGTAACTCCTTGCTCCGCAGCCTTTCCTCGGGGGCAAAGTTCACGAGACGCGGTTGTGTGTGTTGTAGCTCATCGAGGCGCTGACGGGCTCGACGGAGCCAAGTCTCCAGCTGACTCCGGTGAAAAGCTGGCTCGGGTCTGCCGGGGGAGCCAGGCTGTACGAGCAAGCCAACGTGCAGGCCACGCGCAAGCAAATACTGCCGATTGTACAAAGTGCGTCGTCGACGGACTGCTGAGAGGAAACAGAGGTATGAGGGGGTGGGTAGGGAGTTGTGCTGAGTCGGCGGGAGCTCGTGCAAATATATACAAGCGCGCACGAGCACCACTACCCCCTTCCCCGTTGCGATTCAACGAATTAACCTGTGGTAATTATTAGCACCGGACACTGACTTTTTGCTGGTGCGCTGTTGCTGTTGATGCTTTGGGTGATGCTGACTATTGGGGGTTTTTTTTTTTTTTCCTTCTTTTTATCGAACTCAATGGAATGAATGGGACGTGTTCCCTCGTTTTGTTTGTGAAAAGAATTAAATAAATTGACCGTAAAATGCTCAGACCTGTTATTTTATTTCATCCCTAACTCACTGTTGATACTTGATTTATTGATTTAACGTTTCAGAATGTGGTAATGTATATTTTATGTGCAAGCTAACAAAGGTGACTTCAACATTCGCAGTATGATGAACTTTGAAACATAGAGACACCTAAGAAAAATCACTGTCCAGCACGAAACGTGTACACAAACACATTGAAATGATGAATTTTCTTAGGTGGGCATACGAAGAAGAATAAAGTCAGTGTTGATAGTCTTGTGAAATAATTCTAAATATTTAACTTTGGATTACACGATTATTTTTTTATTTACTCAATGTAATACTTGCATACATTCATTTGTTCAATAAATGTAAAGATGAATCATCGTACATTTCAGTAACTTGAACCAAAGTAATCGGACAGCTGGTCTTTGAACTTGGGAGTCACGATTTTACTTATTTTACCATTATTTAAATAGTGATTGTATAATGTCGCCAACTTCATACAATAAACTGCATTAGTCTAGTGAAGGCAACAACCGGTTATCTCAAAATAAGAGGCAAAAACCTACTATCTCATTAACAGAGTTGAAACCCGTACATTGTTTGATTAATATTATCATGCAATTAAATGATGACAAATGCCTATTATAAATGAAAGTGTACTTTTACAATTTATTTTCACATGTATTTTGATGTGTCCTACAAAATTTTTTTTTTTTCATGTCTTAAGGAAATTTTTTTAACCCTTTATAAGTGAATTAACTTCTGTTAAAAAGGTTGACTAAAGATTAGTTTACATGTTTTGTTACGTAACGTAGACTCTTATAGGAAATTAAAATCCATCGGTTCTTTAAAAAACCTTTTGGAAAAATGTGTAATGTATTTAACACCGTATAGCCCAAATCTGCGAGAAATATATTTGAAAAGTGATAATAGATGAATCGCAACCATATTTGACAACAAATCAATGAAGCGGAACAACTTAATCCCAATTTACGTATGCTAAAACCAACGATGAATCACGTAAACGTAAAGTTAATTTGCTATTAACTCTTCTTGTTTCTGATAATTTTGATTGTAACTCTACTTGGAGTGCATTGATCCGTGGTAATAAAACGAGCCCGTCGAGCGCTGATTCAGAATATTCTTGGGCTTTGCATTCACTCTGGTCGCTAAGTCGCACCAATCGTAAAAATTACTATTTATACGGGTATATATACACCTTAAATCGAAAAAATTTTTACAAGAAACATTAAGAAGCTTGTTAGTTGCTCCTCCATCACCGTCAATAATAAAAAAAAATCATAAATTATACAATTAACATGAATTTAAGTACTTTCAATTGCTGCAACTTATTTGTGCTTGTTAACGTCATGAAGTTGGTAATTGTATTGAAATTAGTCTTCATTGGTTTTGGTGAAACAACTCGAATGAATGTAACCGAAGGTCTTAATCTTACTACACTACCCGATGGATTTTTGATGGGAGTTGGTGTATCTGCTCTACAAACGGAAGGAGCGTGGAATGAATCTGGTTAGTAAAGTATGCACAAAAACTATAATAATGTCAGTAGTAAATCAGTCAGATGTATAATCACCATTAAAGGCAAAAGTGAAACTATTTGGGATCATTACACCCATACGTATCCCGAGAAAATAGCAGATGGATCGAATGTAGATGTTGCCACCGACTTTTACCACAAGTACAAAGAAGACATTCAACTGGTGAAAGACATCGGAGTGAGTTTCATAGCAATACAATTTTTTTCTTTTATTTTTATTGTACAATCAAGCAGCTATTCATGAACACTTTTTGTATTAGTTCAACACCTTTCGTTTCTCGATAAGCTGGTCACGAATATTCCCATCTGGCTACGCAGTCGACCCTAACGAAGATGGCCTTCGTTTTTATCACAATGTCTTGGATGAACTGAAAAGACAAGGGATCACGCCGTTTGTTACCCTCCACCATTTTGATCATCCCCAAGTTTTGGAAGATCAACTGAATGGTTGGTTGAACGAAAGCATGGCCTACGCTTTCGCCGATTACGCAGAATTTGTATTTAGAGAATACGGAAGTAAAGTCAAATACTTTACGACAATAAATGAGCCTCAGGCATTCTGTGAATATTTTTACGCAAAAACACGTAAGGCTTTTTCTAAAAAATTTTGCTATAAAAGTATAATACATTTAAACATTTTTTAACGAGACAGTAAATTTTTAGTTTCCGACGTCTCCAATAGCGGTTTATATTACTTGTGCGTCCACAACATCATAAAAGCACATGCTCTTGCTTACCGGATTTACGATAAAGAGTTTCGTCACAAACAAAATGGACTAGTTGGAATAGTTCAAGCCAGTCCTTTTTTTTACAATCTTGTGGATGATGATGTCAATGCACAAAAGATTGCATTCGAATTGCATTTGGGCTTGGTGTCGCATCCGATATTTTCCAAAACCGGAGATTACCCTGACTTAGCGAAGCAATTGATTGACGAGAGAAGTAGAGTCCAGGGATTGGAAAAGTCTAAATTGCCGGTTTTCACTCAAGAATGGATCGAGCGTATACAGTAATATTCATTTATTCATTAACCATATGTTTTTTTAAAACTTTTTTTTGTTCTAATTTTATTTGCCATTTATTTAAAAATTGTATACACGATAATTATTTTACAAGCATTTTTAAGTAAAATTTATTCCAGAGGATCATCTGATTACTTCGGATTGAATCATTACACTACTTTTTTTGTCAAATCGTCACCACCATCTAAAATGTCAGAGTGGAATACTGATGACGGTATTAATTATCTTTACGACTCCAAGTCTCCATCCACTCAAATGGTACAGATGAAGGTTGTTATTAAGTTCCACTCCATTGAAATTGTCTGGTTGATTTTTATCAATAGCATTCTCATACATCATATTCCATCTTATTTTTTTGTTCCGCAGATTGTACCCCGAGGATTTAGAGATTTGTTAAATTACATCAAAAATAATTACAATGATCCATCAATTTTTGTGACCGAAACGGGTGCAAGTGATGCTAATTTAACTAATGACACCATAAGAATGAGCTATATTTACTCTTATACCAAGGAATTGATGAGAGCAATAAATGAGGACAAGTGTAAAGTGAAGTCTTTGATTTTTTGGTCTTTAGTGGACAATTTTGAATTTTACGGGGGTTATACGTAAGTATGACTGTTGGTACAAAACGTACTATTTCATGTTGTTAATAATTTAAAGTTCTTAGAAATAAAAACTTTTTCATTTTGTATATTTCAGTATCAAATTTGGACTTGTCCACGTTGATTTTGAAGACAAAAATCGAAAAAGAACGTTAAAAGAATCCGCAAAATGGCTCAGGCTAGGATTTAAGACGCAGCAACTTTTACCACCACCTTTTTTTAATGACTGATACATTCATAATATTTAGAATATTTAAAAATTATCGAATTAACATGATTGAAACAATTAAAATTATATACGTGACTAGACGGATATGCTTGTTTTTTTTGTGCTTGATTTTTCTATTTGTAGCATGTATAAAGAACATTCGATTTACAATGTCATTGGTCAATATAATCATAGTAAATCCGTGTACATATTGTGAATCATAGTTTAAGCTGAAACGCATGCTCTCTCAATCTCTCCTTCGTTCGCTCTGTGTTACTAAACAGTACTAAACGGTTTTTTATACTTAAAGCGAAAGTATGACAATCAACTCATACGTTACATTTGAACCACTGTGATTGTTATGTACCAATGTTTTATGTAATTCACATGACCATTTTAATAACTACATAAATAGTTGAAACATCCCACCTTAGTGAAGATGTCTGGGACAGAGTGTACAAAAGCATTAATACACGTATGTGAAAAAATAGCTACATCTCAAGATGCTTTAGACCAATTGTCATCAAGCTATCTTTTTTCAGTGGTGAAACTCTAGTAGTTGAAATTGTTATACAACTTTTGATTTTATACTGGAAAGACGTTGATGAATTTAATAATAAAGCATTTCATTTAGAGGTGATTATGTTTTTTAGATGTTTAATTAATGTTTCATTTACAACACAACTTCACGAATCTTCGAACGTCGAGTAAGGATAATCTTAATTGCTAATGGTATTCAACGGATTCTCAACAAATCCCTTGGACAGAAGTATTCACATTTTTTAATCAAATATTTAAGATTTTCTTCACTTCATTTGCACACAGCTTTTACGTGTTGAAGTTCATTTTATCCACATGTTATTTTAACTGTTATTCGATATATTTTTGAACTTATGCATTGACTGAAAAAGTTCCTTGATAACTCGTTGAAGAAACACTTCCCAGTTACGAAAAAAAAAAAAGCAATGGAAACCCATGCGTTGGTAAATTTCCTCGTGGTAGAACCTTGGCAGTGTACGCAGGAGTTGGTTTGCGGTCGAACTTGCGGTTCTTTGCCTTTCAGTGTACCACGTATTATAGACTCGACGCTCGAACGTTTTCAAGAGAAACGTAAACACATCGGCAAGTCGTCGCCGGGAGCACGTTTACGCATGTGTACACAGTTATACATAGTACGTGGTGAGAGGAGGTGCTCCGGGTGTATATAGGAAAAGAGAAATAGAGAGAAAAAAGGCGTGCAGGTGGAAATGGTAGCGTGGCACCGATGGCGTTGGTCCGAATATGGTCTTTATACGAGTAAAAGAAAAGTTTAATATTTTTTTAGCAGATTCTGGAAGCACTTTAATACGGCACTTGCACAATTTCACTGGAATAAAAATTCGAGCCGAGTTTTTGCAAAACGCTTCTCGAAACAGAACCACATCTTTGGGAATACCCCATTAATTATTTTTAAGCAAAACCCATTTTGACCAACAAGTTTTAGTGCAAGAGAATAGTGTCATTTTTTTTTTTTTGTATAGAAGAGTGCTTTTAATTTCGATTCACGTGTTGACAAAGATGTACTACTTTTTTGTTATCAAAACAGAAAGATACGAAAATTAATATTAAATAATTAAAAATCGTTGAAATATACATTGTTTGAAAAAATACACTATTGTAGGTATATGCGCTTGAAACGTATACATTACCCTAAAAAATCAATCGCCGCAGCTCACGTGTATTTTGTTATCTCCTTTCCTTTCCGCTCGTAACAAATGCTGCCCTGCAAAATCCGACAATTTTATCGCGGACCGGCAAGCAGGTATCAATTTTGTAATTTTTATCTCTCGGCCGCGCGCACATCTGTCAAAATATTTTACGCGCTCGCTCGCGCAACGTGTCGCTCTACACGAGAGCGAAAAAGCAAGAGTGGTGGAAAAAAAAAAAAAAAAAAAAAAAAAAAATGACAAAAAATTGAAAACGATCTCTTTTGCGCGCGCTTCATACCCGGGGTTTCAATTCATCACGACAGAAAGAAGGAACAGAAAAAATCGAACGCGAGAGGGGATACGACGTGTACACGCATCACAATCGCGAGAAAAATGTATGGCGCGATATCGCACGCGAAACGTATGACGAATACTCGAGCTTGCGAGGACGGCTATACACACGTACGTGCAAGCTCCGCCGATACGTGATGGGCTAATTTTTTACCCCCGAAACTGAGAAAACGTCGGATCTCTGTGCAGTGGAAAAAAAAAAATAAATGAAAGAGGCAGTGGAAAAAAGTGCATTTAGAGGAGAGAGAAAGGAGAAATTTACGCTCCGCCGGACGCGCGATTAAAGCTTCGAGGCGGCCGAAAAGTTTTCCCCGTGCGAACGAGTTGAGCTGATTCAATTAGGAGGTGAAATTTTTTTCTAGCAATAACGCCCAGCCTCGACCGGTGGCTAATTTCCAGCTGTTGCGTGTAACGCGTGTGCCTTGAAGGATCACCTCTGGCTTATAGCTTTCCTCTCGAGAGGGAAGAAGAAAAAAAAAAAAAAAAATTGCGAGAGAAAAGTTGGGGCCACTGGACCAATTTCTCAAAAAATAATTAACGCGGACTCCAAACGTGTACATGTACAAACATACGTTACACCCACTGCCACCCGATTTATAGGACGTGCTGAAGGAAGAAAAAATTGAGGGAGAAAAAAAAAGAAAGAAAGACTGGGAGTTGGTAACGCACGCAGGGAGGGAGAGAAAAAGATTCGGCTGAGCGTAAGTACGAGCGTGTGGTTAGTCGTTGGGTATAAGTTTGCTTACGACACTTTTTTTTTTTTTTTTTTTTTTTTCCTGCGCTAGTGACTCTTACGTTTTGTTGCGGGAATTTCGATGGCCCCTCACTGTTTCGTGTGTTGAAACTTGTGTACAAACTTCATCGTGATAAATGACTTTTAATGAAATATATTACTTGCAATAGTGTTAGAAACAAAGAGTTTTTTCAACCTTCCGTACAATACGTAATATTTTAGGCACGCCCTAAATAATAATTAGGTTTGATACAATCAAAAATAAACGTTTTTGCTCTGCGGGTGGTCATTGTCTTTAGCCAAGTCTGATCGAAATGGTTTGTTTTTAGACGCATTTTGTTTTTATTCTAAAAAAAAGACACAAGTGGTGACATGAAAAAAAAAAAACCCACAAAATTATTATCTTTTGATGGATTGACTTGTTTTCAATCTTCCTTATCTCTACATCCCATGGTTTTCCCTACACGATTTCGAGGTGCAAGCCCATACGCGTCCTTTCGCACCAAAATCAGATCAAAACAGCCGGGCATACATCTCAGCCAAAAAGAAAGAAGATAAATATAAATCTCACCCGTGACAAAAAAAAAAAAAAAAAAAAAAAAAAAAAAAAAATTCCAAGCCAATCTCAGCCAGCGTACCCGTGTGTCTCCTTCTCTCGCACCAGCTTCACTTCCCCGCGAACCACCAGAGAAAACCTTTGGCGCGTAAAAGAGGACCAGCCGTTCTTTTAAAATCCTATCGCCTCGGCCCATTCAACTCTGAGCGATCGAACGAGCTGCCCGTTCTCCTTCGGCCCCAACCGAAAAAAAAAAAAAAAAAAAAAAAAAAACGGCAACAACAAGAACCAAAACTGCCGACAATAAGGCAGACCGCAGCAGAAAAAAGAGAGAAATAAGTCAAGACTAGGGCGCTCCGATCCCACCACCCCCCAAAGACGTATACTCTCCCTTTTACCGTGTAAAACCATGTACACACACACACACACACACACACACACACTCGGGGCTCGTGTTCCTCGCTTCTCCACTCCTGCACGGTATCGGCCGTAAATATATACACACAGGCAGTGGTATAGAGCAAACGGAGGGTGGGTGGCGTTTATCAATAACCGAGAGTCCCGGGAGCTGGAACATATTGCCGGCGAAGAGAGAGGCCGGATAGATGGGCGCTCGTTTTCCGAGCTCTCCGGCTTTCCATGCGCCACTGTATAGCCATGTTACCAGCCGGAGCTCTGTACACCGCATCCGGGCGATACGTATATTATTTATCATTGGCAAAACTGGCTTGCTTATACTTACAAATTTCATAACTAAATTTCACGGGGGTAAGCTTCCCCCTGCCCACCTCGCCCCGTTTGCTCGCTCTCGTGTTTTTCTTTTATTCGTATGTTTGTCCCAACCACTTTGTTTCGTCCGGATGACAAATCCATTTCTCCTCCGAGTTACGTTTCGTTGAGGGGTGAGGATACACCCACCTTTTGGGGACATTATTGATTTTGGATGTATCTGAGTTTCGAGGAGCGCAGCTCGGAAGTTAACGTCACTGTTGCAGCGGATCACTGGTTTTTTTCGTGCCAATGAAGTTTCGAGGGTCGTTTGCAAGTGGGATTGGCCAGATGGATCATATACTTACCAGATGATACAACTTTGACGAGTGTAAATCCACGATGCAGTTCAACGCGAGGAAGTACTCTTGATAAGACTCTGCGAGTCTGACCTGCTTTTGGTCCGCGTGTTTCGTCAAAGCCCTCCCACTTGGAGCCCAAAGCGAATCGATAACCCGTTCCCCATCAGACCCAAAAAGCCGGGCTCTCTCTTCCTTCGTACACCGAGCGTCACCGCGTAATTACAGGCTGCCTCGTAAATTGTGACGTTGCACTTTCACGCCCTGAGACACTATAGAGTGTCGCAGCCAGGGCGGTCCCGAGACAACGTCCAAAGACACTATCGCCAATCCTCTCGCCAAAGTCCGCCGTATCCTGAAACGCGAAAAACAACCCCTGTCCCCACGCTCACGATGTCCGCTGCTTGGCCCAGGAGACTCGTCTCTGAGGAGGTCCTGCCGGCGGTAGTCCGTCGGGATCGGACTACTCTCCCAAGGAGAAACGAGGCGCGACCTGTAAAATCTGAAGGAGGAAAAAACACACGCACGACCACAACGAGTTAATGATTTCAAGAACACTTCACTTTATTTTTGGCGAACTTTTACACGTGGGCTTTTAGGCCCGAATCTCGGCGCAATCCGGCGCTA